AGAGACGATGCGTAGCTCCACCAACAGAACGCCGTGCCAGGGGGCTGGTGCCAGGGCACAGCCACCCTCAGCCACAGCCAAGCCTCAGCAGCAGGTTGCAGAAGCACTTGCTTGGTGCTGCCCTCAAACACGTCCATCAGCTTTCAGGTTGGCAGAGACTCTAACTACTCATTTCAGCTAATAAAGATACTCAGTAATGTCATATTACAAGGCTGGCAAGCTCCCAGCAAATCTTATGGTGAGCCTTTGTTTAATTAGAGGTTTCTCAGGCAGCCACAATTTCATCCTCATAACAGGAAAAGTAAGCTGGGTTTAAAAGTTTGAGCCTGAGGCATACCCTACTGAAGTCTGGGCATCTTGGGAGCCCTCCTCCCAGACTGAATGGGCATTTTGTTGCTGCAGAAACTTTTGCACCCAACCACCTTTTTTTTTTTTTAAATTTGTTTTCTTATTTCTATTTGCCATTTTAGGGGCCCCTCCCTGCCCCAGGCACAGATAAGGCTGGCTGGGCATTCAGTTGAGAGCTGGGCACTGATTACCTGCTTTTCTTCCTCTGCTGCTGTTCTTGCACGGTCTCCCACCTGCCCCTCATCTCTGAAAACCAGAACCTCCAGTGCCACAGGACAGGGACCCAGTGGTGCCAGTGCCAGTCCCCAAAGAGTCCCACCTGCCCTGGGAGCATAGAGGGTCAAAATGTTACCAAAACTACAGAAAATGCCTCCCAGTCTATCCTTCCCTGCACACTTTGGCAATGAGATGCAAGCCAAGATTTTTAGGATGAATTATATTGTTACTGGAATGCAATTTTCTTCCTGACAGGAATGGAATGGGAAGAGAATGACAAGTTGCATGCGGCACTACGAGCTCGTCATTAGCGGGGATGACTTCGTTAACAAGCAGGAACCCACGAAGCAGCTCCACCCCAGCCCCTGCCTGGCTGAGCTGGGGGCAGCCCCTGCTCCATGCTCACGCAGCAGCAGCAGCTGTGGCAGTTCCACGGGCCGTGGTTTTCACACCAAGCACGGTCATGGCCCCGTTGCTGCTCTGGAGTACTCAGAGCACACCTCACAGCTCTGCACAGGCTCTTTGCTCTCTGGCAGGACGAGGTCTCACCCCACTGGGACTGTCTGTGCTGCAGCAGAGGTGTTCTAGACTGGAGACAGTTGTGTAGCTCCTGCCTCCTCCCTCCCTGGAAATGCAGGGACAAGGATAAACCCCAAACTACACCACTGGCTTGCCCCAGCCAGCTCCTGCTTTATTGTACAGCTAAAGAGAAGCATGTGTGTGAATGCTCCAGCCACCTCATGACACCTTCCTCTGCAGCAAAGCCACCACCGCTAATCTAGGCTGGCCAGCAGCTCAGACCAGTTCCACCACACTGAGGACATGAAGCTCTACAGAGCATTATTCTCACCAAGACATGAAAAATTCTCAGCACTGTCAGAGGCTTTATTTACCAGCCCTTCCTCCTGGCCACAGGCAGCATAGGTCCCTCCCAAAAAGAGCCTTCATTTCCTCATGGAAAGTGTTCCCATTTTTCTGACTGGCCAGGTGGTTTCTGCAGATCTTGGGTGGCAGCCGCATGCTTTGGGGGAGCAGGCAGCACCCACTCCTCTTTAACAGATCCGCCCCAGCGCCCTGCCCAGGGCCAAGGCGCTGCAGCCGCCTCCTCTGCCGCGGCCGAGGTGCAGCACCAGCTCATTCATAAGCCTCAAGAAACATCCTTGTATGAAAACGTAATGAAAATTATTCAGCTAATCTACTTTAATAACCCGACTCCGGGGCCTCTCCGTGCTGCAGACAGTGCAATCATTTCTAGGATATTAGCTGTCGTTTCGGATCAGGCCGAGGGAGGCAGAGGAACTCACCACAGCTTCATCGGGGCTCCCAGCTCTCCAGCCGCGGATGTGTGCAGAGAAGCGAGGTGGTGCCCCTGGGGGTGAGCTGCCTGCCAGGGCTCTGCCCGCTGCCTGGGCACGGTGAAGGGCAGGGACTGCCCCTGGGAGACCCTTCCCACCTTTGCCTGCCTCTGCTGCCTTTTTTCTCACCTCTCTGGTTTTCCCCCTTCCCCCCAGTGAACTCAGCACGAGCAGCAAGAGCTTGTGGAACAGGCTGGTGAGGAAGGTGGGGAGCCCACCAGCACCCAACAAGCCAGAAGACAACGTGCTGGGATGTGACCGACATCCCTCAGCCCTGGAAGTGTCAGCCTACCCCTTATTCCCCTCCACAGCCCCTGCCCTGTCCCTGGGGATGCTCCACGGAACTAGGGGTGACAAAGAGGACCCCTCATGCTCCCCACCACAGGACTGACAGCACAGCGAGCCCAGCTCTCACCTCCACAGGACATGGACAGTGACGTTGTCACCTCCCACAGAACAAGATGTCACCACACTGCCAGTTCTGCACAGCAACTTTAGTTGATCAAGAATGTGTAAAAAATGGTCCAAAATCCCAGAAAATTCCTGCAGTGTGTACAAAATTCAGTATAGAGTATAAAATACTTTTAAAATATTCTGCAGAATCCAATCTGCAAACTTTAAGTTAAAAAGATTGGCGCACACAAAATATAGTAATGCTTAACAAAAATACAGACGTGCTGCAGCCGTGATGCCCAGTTAGATGCTCCCTCTGCCTGGTTTGTGCAGAGCCACGTGGCACCCCGGGCACTCGGGGATCCTGGTGCACAGCGAGGTGACGAGGAGGGACGGGGCTCAACCCGGAGCAGACAGCGGCACCCCGAGCAGTGGTCCAGCAGAG